TCATATCAGATATGTATTTTGATTTAGAATTTAGACATTATAGAAAATGCCGATCCATGTGTGAGATGATAACATAAAATGTAATAAATAAATATATATAATATAATAAATTAAACATTACCTTGTCATAGTGTTTTATCATTTATACAGATAACTGTTATAATAAGGTAATATATTATTCTAATAACCATATTAGAATAATATATTACCTTATTTATTACTTATATTAGCGATTCATCATTAACATATCATACAAATAGGCTATATATTATATAATGTTGTGCGCTATCTGTCACGCCCACTGAAGGCTCGTCAGTAGATCACACGTGCACTTAAGTGAACTAACCCTGGAACATAACCTGCTCCGGAGCAGGTTATCTTCAGAGAGCAAGTTACTATGGTTACTTACATACCCTGAAAGTTACCTCTGGTTTTGGAACCGAAAGATGAGGTTGTCCACTCGCTTATTCTCAAACATACCCGGTTATGTCACATAACCTGCTTTTTGGAATACCCCCCTGTTCCAACTTATCAAGTCCTTCAGGCTTATTTGAAAACCACATGGTAGACTATGGCCGTTTCTCAAACGGAAGCCTGCATCCTCTGGAGGTCACATTTGCAGGCTGCATACGTCATCAGACCTGGTTTATTTCAGTTAACCGAGCATTACATTCGCGAGTCATAAGCATATTACAACAATTTACGCTTAACTAAGAATAGGCCTAATGGTCAACTTTATAACTGTTAATATTCTAAAATAAGATCTTCTTTATGACGTATGCAGCCTACAAATGCGACCTCCGGAGGATGCAGCCTTGAGCCTTCTGTTTGAGAAACGGCCTGTGTGTCGGAGCAGGGGTTGGAACAAAACTCTACAAAGCTCCGGCCCTCCAGGAATTGAGTTTGACACCCCTGTAAGAGTTATTTTAAAGGTCAAGATATTTTATTAAATATTATGAAGACAAGCGATTTTTAATCTTAGGAATAGCATGCAACAAGTAATCATACCATACAAAAACAGCTAAGAGTCCATTTTAATCTATTTTATTTTAATCTGTAAGCAAACAGTGAGCTTCGTTTCATGAACCTAATAAAGCACAGAATTATTTCACTGTGTTTCACTTCATTCTGGTCATTCAAATAATTCCAGATTGAATCCCCTATTTTCAGGAAAGAAAGGAAAGCTCTGCTGACACAAAGGGTGCCTTACCTCATTTGCTCCACTCCCTCCATATGAATGAAACACGGTTTAGACAGCCTCCACTGCATCAGTGCTGCTGGAATACCCCCTTCTCTCTCTAGCCGTCTCCCCTGCTTTCCCCAAGCCCTCCCCGCGCCCACCTGAATGAGTCACCACGGAAAACCTCTCAAGCTACGGAGTAATTGCTGGGTAGGACGGGGACACACACATTAAACAGGGATTCCCTGTGCTGTCGAAGTGACAGTTCATTTAGCTCTCTGCTCACTCAGGCGTTTTCGACATTCCTCCGAGACTGGCTTTCAAATAGCATTGGTATCTATCAGCCAAAATACTTGCTTTTCTGATCAAAGAGATCACGTAACCTAGATATAGTATACATCTTGTTGCACGGCTCCGCCACAAGATGGAGACAAAACATGAATAAAAACCTGCTATAGTTTGGACTCCTATAGCATTCTCTATAAATTAAATTCATGCTATTGCATCCCTCCCTGCATTGCAACAGCACGCAGGCTTTTTTTTTTCAGTTATGCAACTGTTCATTTTTCTTGAAAGGTTTAACGCACGAATTTGCACAAAGTATAATGCTCATCTACAGACATACATTTAGTTTGAAGCTTTGCGTGATGAAAAATATAATCTGCCATTAATTTGATGTAATATTGAGTAGTAAAAGTTATCCATACCGTCAATGACCAAAAAATAAATAAATAAAAAATTGTGAAGAGTCCTCAGGGCATCAGTCTCCTGGGCTCTGTATAGTCTGGACTCTAAATGAACTGTCAGGGGACCTAATTACTCAGCAGCGAGGAGCACACGGTATACTCACTGGTCGGATTCTCCTTCAGCTAGAATGCCCTAGGTAACTTTTTAGTATTCTCCTCCTGAAGTCAGTGTCTCCGAAAAAAATGGTGTGCATCAGTACTCAGTACTCATTGGTTGGCTACAAATCCCGCTGACGTCGGCAGGGTAAGAACTTTTTTTCCATGATACTGACATCACCTTTCTCTCATTTGTAACGTAACTCATATCAATAAAATCATTGTTAATCTTTCATAGGGCGTAATTCATAATTTTCAGTAGCACAGATTGCAACTTGTAATTTTTTTAGTATTACTCGCTATGTAAAAATATGGCAACACTGACACTTGTAATGTGTGTAAAGAAATTTTAATTTAAAAAACTTTTTTTTATTATTTGTTAGAGCATCTTTATCACATTCTCTATAGAAAAAGATTAACGTTTAACATTATGCTCACTTCCTTGACCCCAAAATATCAAAATAGCAGTTGTTGTCTTTAGCCTAATATGCTATCAGGTGTTAAAAGATCTTCATGAGCCAATATATAATTTTCACGATTCACATCCTGTCCGAAGTCATCAACATAGGCCTACTACAGTCTGCTTCGTGTACCTCAAATCACCTCAGACAGACCTTGATAACCTTGCTGGAGTCATAAACAAACCATCAATAACGATAAGTTCTGCAGTAATACTCAAAATAAAATATGGGCACTTCATTAATCAAACTGTGTTATAGAACCAACTAAATCTGCACGGTGCAGGGTCACATTTCCATAAATTATCATACAAATCCATAATTTAGGCCTACTTCATGTAGCTTATACACAATACATCACAGTCATCTCATTAACCAACCTCTGGCAACCTTAACTACCAACCACATGCATCCGAAGTGTAGCAAAATCCCCGCAAGTTTCAGTCTTAGCATCCTGGAGCAATGAAGTCTGCACGTGTATCCATATATGGGTCACGGGTCCACGTGTAAGTTTCATTGCGTGAGGGTGGATAGGTGAGACCACCGGAGAGCAGATATATGCGGACATCTCCGCAATCCCTGAAATGCCAGTACAGTGCGAGAGGGGGGAGAAGGGGGCCAGCCCGGTCTAGCAAATGAGAAAATAGAGAAGTGGGGAGTCCGACGGTGAATTTTACGTCAGGCTTGAGATGTGGGCGTGAAGAAGAGAGAGAAAAAACACGAGGCATTACCGCCTTCTCTTAACGGGGTGCACCATTTCACTTCCCTGCGCCACGCCGACAACGGGAAAAATCACAAAGAGTTTCTGAATAGCTGCGTGAACTAAACAGCGATGTTCAACGCTCAGATTTGGCAATCTTTTCCCCTCACAACTATCTAAAATTGTCATATACTCCAATGGTTTTACTGGACGTAGGATGGGATTAACTTTGTCTGGAAGATATATTTCATTGTTTCTTGCTGTTCAAATAGGTAAGTCGATTATTTGTGTCGTATATTTGGGGATGGGCTGACTTTTCCTTTTTAATCTTGTTTTAATCTTGTATAGATACAAATAACTTAACACTTAAGGCTATTTGAAGCCCGTAAAGGTATAGTTTTGTTATATATATATATATATATAGCCCGTAAAGGTATAGTTTTGTTATATATATATATATATATATATATATATGGTTATATATTTGTAGAGTGTATGTTTGTGGATATTTTAATTGCAATAATGTTACTGTCGATTTAAAGGCTTGCAACTATTAGATCTGGGCATTGACTAAGAAAATCAACAGTAATCTTCTCTAAAGTAATATAATAAAGTAAAAGAATATTGCATTGCATCTCCATTCAATGCTGGAGAATGTCTAAAGCCCAGTAAATCTTATTGGAGCAAGTTGGTGAAAGTGTGGGACCGCCCGATCCTCTCCGTAATAAATTATTCAAACTAATATTGAAAAATAATACGAAACGGGAAATATTCATTAAAATGATTGCATTAACAGATTTTGCTTGCAAAGAGTAGGTTTTATAGCCTACATGAATCATCAGTTTTATATGGTCCCATGTGTCCCTTTATAAATAACGCAATTGCCACAAAATATCATTTACTTATAATTCAGCGAAAAATTGGTGGGCAGTTGTTGTTTTAGAATATACAGAAGATACCAGGTCTTGTTCCTGTAATATTGTGAGTTTTTAAATGGCTTTTTTTTGTTGTTGTTGTTGTTAGTGCTGTTGCATGGCTCTGCAATGAAAATTGCATCTTGTGCATTAGGATGAAACCAGCAACGTTAGCGATGAATTGTGGTTGTTCGTGAAAAAGCTGGTGCCGTTACCTTGTTGAACTACATTAATTTGCCATAAACCCCCACCTGACTTCATTGAACAGATTATGTGGTGCCAGGTTGACACCGGTACCGCTGACAGGGTCTAGTAAAGTGGTCGTGACCACTAGTACAGTAGGATAGGTGAGTCTATATTAGATGCTCAGTTGTTTCTAAATATAGATCATCGTTCCTACAACGAAAAACGATTTTTAAAATTCACCGGTTGTTCGCAGTGTTGTCTTTTGTGATTGTTAATTCCAGTAAAGAAAATAAAGGCAGAGAGGACTGAAATGTATTTTAAATATGAAAGCATGCATCCCATTAATGCACGGCTTTCCGAAGCAAGCTGTATGAGCATCTTTGTATTTCGCATCCTCATATCCGCCATGTTGAGGTCAGAATATTTCAATAATTTTAGTAAAAATGCACGAAAGAGGTTATAGAGAGTATAATACAAGGTATCGCCTTTACGCATTTATTTTCACTCAGTATGATCTGTTGGAGGAATATGGTTGTAATGGTCATCATAAAGGGCGATCTGTCCATGAAATCACAATTATAGCGAGATAATTCGTTATGTAAGCGGTCAGCGGTGCGGCATTACTCAGTAACACCTTTAATCATCTGTGTCAGGAATCTATACAATAATTTAATAATTTTAAGTGTATTTTGTGTCATTGCTGGATTCTGTGGGCGATAAAGAATGCACGAAATGACTGTGCTCCATAGCCTTTATAAAAGATACATAACAACAGGCATGACTGCATCTATATTTTCTTTTTCGTTTTTTTATTTAGCGTATAATGTTTGCAGAATAGAATACAGGAATGCATATAACGAATATAAAATAATGTAGGCTCCTATAACACGTAATGCATATAATGTAGGGACAAATATACAATATATAATATAATGCATGTAATATAAAGTAGGAAGGCTACACATGTACTGCATAAAATACAACATAGGGATATATAGGCTAGCATGCACTGGATAATGGATCATATAGCATGAAATGCATATAATATCATGTAGTGCTAGATTAGGCTAATGCAGTGTATCAACGCATGTACTGCATATAATACATGCAAAGCATTTGATATAATGTAAGGACAATAGAATGTGGTGTGTAACAGGGTGTATGCGTTTTGCCCATGTGGTTAATGGGTAGAGGCCCGGCCTGATTTGAACAGTGAAACAACTTAATCAATTGACGAGATCTCACTGTTTAAGGAACCTGCAGAAGCGACTGGCGTTTAAGGTTCGTTAGGCAAAGGGATCTGGTCAATTGATCATGTTGTGAGTGACCTCCCAGCCCATCACCGAGTCCCAAATGAAGAGGGAAGGAAAAAAGTACAAATCTTCTAATTTTCCCAAATAGATCTGTCATCGAAAAGAGACTCTTTTCTAGATGTGTATAAAAAAAGGGGGGGGGTACAAATCACTCAGAATGAAAATCTCACCTCACACAAGCCCACACACCCCCTCCCTCATGTAGACCATTACATCATCGTTTGTCCATGCGCCACCCTCATGCTCAACACACACATTATTGTGTGGAAGTATGTTATGCCTTATTTATTAGAACCAGAAAAATTAAATAAGACGAGCGAAGAACAGAAAGTGTAACAGCTACACTCTACACTCTAAAAAATGCTGGGTTAAATACAACCCAGTGCTGGGTAAAATAGGGACAGACCCAGGAATTGGGTTGTTTTGACCCAGCATTTAACCCAATAGCTGGGTCAAAACAACCCAATAGCTGGGTTTGTCCCTTTTTGTCCCAGCGCTGGGTTATATTTAACCCAGTATTTTTTAGAGTGTAGCTAATAGAATAATAATAATAAAAAAGTTGATTTATGCTCATTTCTCGTTTTCCAGCCTATCTGTTGCAGGCGGTTCGAGCGGATGGGAAATGTGAAACAGTGTTCAAAGGTTTCTCCAACTGCCTGCTTCAACTGGGAGAGAACATGGCCAACTATCCACAGGAGCTGGACGAGAAGGAAAACCTTCAGACCATCTGCACGTAAGAGAAACATGCATACACACAACAGATGAAATATACGTGTGAGAGAGTAGGGAGGGAGAGAGAGAGGGGAAAAAAGAGAAACGGAGCCAGATGGCACAAGGGGCCCCTTGTTTAATTCGACAGCTCCATGAGCAGAAATAGAGCCGTGCAGGCAGTACGCACTATTAACATTTCACCAGTTAATTACAATTAGATAAACCATCTCTACACGCCAAGGCCAAAGGTCAGCATCCATAATTGGATCAGATCGGGAGGTAATGCACGATTATTGTAAGCGACCCGCCCCATAAAATAACGGGTTCATTTACAGCAGTTACTGAACGGAACAGCATCTTATTACAGGGACTGAAATTATTATACTTCCCTTTCTTTCACTTTTTTTCGAAATTAAGTCTGCCTGCCGCGTTTTTAAATACATGCACTCAGACCCGTTTTAGATCATACATTATTTTTTTATGTAATAAAATTAGATGCCTATATCAAAGGAGATGTGCACTAAGTGTCCTGACAAGGGCTATTTTCCATATAGCCTACTAGCCTACTCTTTCATATACTTTTTTTTTCTGCTTAAGTAAAAAGCATTTTCTTTTTAGCATTACAGTGTATTTAAATTGTTTTGGAGCGAGCGACTTGTGACCATGCGCGTGTTCATTTGTAGATGCAGGGTTTAGAATGTGGGTGTGTTCCTGAAATATATTAATAAATGATAGGCTTGAGAGTGGGATAGAGGAAGGGGGTGGGGCGCAGGAGGGGAGTTGTAAGAGAGCGGGAGAGATGGGGAGGGCGCTAGAAATCACGTGATACGGAGACGTTCCCTTTGGAGCCGCATTACAACTCGGGTTTCCCTCGTGCCCTGCCTCCTCCTTCACATGGCTACATGAGGACTCATGCACGCTATAAAATGGATCCTGTGTTAGAGTTTCTAATATTTTTATAGTTATGAGGATTTTGTATACACACACACACATATATATATATATAGGCCTATATTTTTTTCTGGTTCGACTTTTTTTTTAATCAACATTAATGTTAGCTATATTTCGTTATAAACGTTTAAATTATCTGAACAAGCCTAATTTAAATTCAAATGAACATATGCTATAATGTACAAAACTGATGTAGATTTTCTAAACAAAATACGATACTTAAGTGTTTACTTAATGTTATTTCTGTAGTGTTTAATATTCAAATGAAAACGGACGTTCAATGCAGTCAAATAGTCTAAAACCTTTTTGTTGAAATAAACGCATAAACCGAAAATATGGCGTATTTAAACTGAAAGCAAAGCAAATCTCAAAACTGCTTCCCACATAGGCCTATAGGATATTTTTTTAAATAAAAAAATAAATACAAATCTGTGTTCAGAAATTTGAGTTTCCACAGAATTAGACCTATATTTTACAAAGTAAATAAATACATAAAAATAAATAAACAAAATAAAAATCTATAACAACAACAACAACAAAACAGCAATAATGTAACATGATCGACTTGTAATAGAATGTGAAGCGTGACCCAAATCAGACATGAGCAATGATTTTTTTTCTTTGTGTTTGAAATATTTGATTTGCAGTTACTGGGATGATTTCCATTCATGTGCGACCACTGCTCTGGCAGACTGTCAGGAGGGAGCCACAGATCTGTGGGAGAAGCTGAAAAAAGAGTCCAGAAATCTGGACTTTCGCGGCAGCTTGTTTGAACTGTGTGCGGCAGGGAACGGCGCGAGCCGATCATCGGTTCCGTTCGGCTTGACGCTGATCCTAACTGCACTGTCTGCGCTCGTCACGTGGATGCAGTTTTAACCCACGGAGAGAGAAGAAGAAGAAAAATCAAAGAAGAAAAAAAAGAGGGGGAAAGACCAGACAAACCATCAACACAAGAATAAAAAAATAATAATAATTAATGACGATCAAAATTCATCCTCACCCAAATGGATTTATAAACCTATTTCATCTGGAGAAAAAGACGTTTTTTGCAAGAGACAATGGCAAGAAAAAGTCTTCTGGGAATGCTCAAGCACATTTGCCTGACTCTGGGTCGATTTCATGAAATATTTATCAGATATTGAGTTGAAATGACGGCCTGCATTTCTGAAAGGTCCTGGTTAGAAGCGTAGTATTTTATAACATTACCGTCTGTTATGAATGAATTATTACTGTAGGCTTTTCACGTTTTCAACGGCCATCATGCATATAGAAAGATATTCTCCCATCTGTTTGTTTCTATATGCTCTTTGTCAATATTTCGTTTTCCATTTATCAAATTTATTTGAGTCAAGCCAAGTATATGGATGAAGTGTGAGGGGGTTAGATGGTTTGCTGACCCACCAAGCCAGAAAAAAATATAAGAAATGTCTCCAATAATCACGATGCTAATTATAGGCTATAAATAATAATTATCATTATGATGATGATAAAAAATATAATAAATAAACCTCAGGAATGACTAAAGGCATCTATTTAGTGGCATACAAGAGAGCAGAGAATATATATATATATATATATATATATGCCCCAAACGCTATTCCATTCAAAAAAGAATTGTCTCTTTTTATGTAGGACACATAACAGTATAAAGGCAACACGTTACATTACAGTGTCCATGTTGCATATGACAATGTGTAATTACAAGTAAGCAGCTCCAGAAAACAATTACACATCAAATACACGTAGTTCATTACTATTATGCAGTACTAACACTGTAACGTAAAGTGCGGCCTGTATTTCTCCCGACAGCATCGTAGCACGAGAATATCTGGACCTTGACATTAATAGTTGGATGACGTGAATTTTGCTAGCTTTATTTGATGTTGCCAAGGCATAGACCACGTTTCACTGCCTTCAGAAGATGTGTGTTTTGTTTGTTCGTTCGTTCGTTTGTTCGTTTCTGGGGATGTTGCATATGGAATACCTGAATATTCAAAACCATACAAGTAAACAAGAAGAGATGTATGTGAAATGAAAAGATAGATACTTTAACCGAAATCGTTTTAAAACAGATTGATTATACAGGTATATAAAATAGACTGCTAAAAAATAAGTATTTAAAAGTATTAAATAAAAACAGTTATTGTTTGAAAGAGATCTGTGTTGTTGTTTTTATTGATGTAGCCTTTGTGGTGATTACAATGCATCTTCCTTTTACCTAAAATATATTTGATCTAATATAGCCTAATCCATATCGATTATATATAGCCTAAATAAAAGGAGCAAATATATATAATGGTCAAATATATATATAGCCTATCAAATTGCGAAGGCGTAGGTTCAACACACACGCGCTTCTCTTCCAGCTCCTCAAACGTGCTACGAGTACGCAGGCGCGCGCAAAGGCGAGACTCCGTCGAGTGAAGACGTATTGTTTCATTATTAATAAGCTGGCAGAGAGAGTCATTTCATATTGATTCCCCCGCGCTCAGCGCATTTCTGCAGCATATGAGGCGCTTGTCTGAGCGAAAACAACCACCAGATTGAAAAATGATAGTTGAGGGGGAAAGTATTTATTCTGAACGCATTTTGAGAAACATTAGTCTATTACCTTTTCAAGAGGCTACGGCCTTTTCTTATCGTAAGTCAGTGACAAATAAGGATGTCGACATGATAAACAAAAGATAACCAAAAACATATTTAAATACATAAAAAAATAATACAGATAATCTAAACTCAGCAAGTCGTGCAACCATTAAGAACAAACTTTGCAAGAAAACAAAATCAACAAATATCTTGATGTTTTAAGAAAATCAGGACGGTTTTTTATTATTTTGTATTTTTTACGTAATTTACTAAATGACCTTGACGCAGTAGTTGTTTAATGGGTTTCTTATTGGGTTATATAAAATGGCAGCCTGTATGTTTATTACGCCTTACTCGATTTGACGTGTATATATATATATATATATATATTCTTCAAATAAGTTTAACATTTTAAAATAATCTTTATTTTTTTCAATAAATAAAAATAAATATTCGTTTCCTCAATTTTTTTCATTTTAATTCGATTAGATCAATAACACCACATATACATTCTGACATCTACAAAAAACATCTCATTCAGAAACCGAGAATATGCTAATCAAAACAATGTCATTTTTTTTGCATTAATTGCATTTTGAATGCATTTCCGCATATTTTTGCACACGAAATGGAATCCGAACCAACATTAAACCTGCATATCACGTGGTTTAGAGATAGGAATAACTGTTATACATTATTCAAAAATATTTGAAATGTACAAAAGGAAGAAAATATATACGTTTTTATATAAAAAAAGAGGAAAAACTAGCACTCGATTTGACGTATATATATATGTATGTATATATATATATATATTCTTCAAATAAGTTTAACATTTTAAAATAATCTTTATTTTTTTCAATAAATAAAAATAAATATTCGTTTCCTCAATTTTTTTCATTTTAATTCGATTAGATCAATAACACCACATATACATTCTGACATCTACAAAAAACATCTCATTCAGAAACCGAGAATATGCTAATCAAAACAATGTCATTTTTTTTGCATTAATTGCATTTTGAATGCATTTCCGCATATTTTTGCACACGAAATGGAATCCGAAACAACATTAAACCTGCATATCACGTGGTTTAGAGATAGGAATAACTGTTATACCTTATTCAAAAATATTTGAAATGTACAAAAGGAAGAAAATATATACGTTTTTATATAAAAAAAAGAGGAAAAACTAGCACTGGTATATTTTACAATAAATGCATTAAAGCTTTGATACGACAAATAAAATAAGAGTGTTCTGTTTTCGCTTGTTTATTAAGTACAGCTTTTCTGAAAATCAATATAAATCAGACTTTGTATCAAAAACAACTCTCTTTGATACATTGAGAAATAAACAAGCTTATTTGGAGCAGTGGTAAAATGAGTATTCTCCCTGGAGGTGTGAGACTGCATGAATGGGACTGAAGTCCTGGAACGCATTTTTTATTGCTCCTTTTTGAGTTTGAAAATGAGATTGGATTTCATTCTGTCCCTGAAAGGAGATGACGACTACATTTGTAATCTCATTAAAATGCATGCTATTCTGTTCCTGGCACTGAATATATTATCCTCCACAGATCTTTGTGTAGTGCATAGAGATACATTATTTTTTTCTTCTTTCAGTTCTGCAACACTCATTTGGAACATTTCCTAACCACACAAAATGAGGAGGCTATACTGATTTTGACATTTAATACTGTATTTAACAATGAATATAGAGGACATAGAGGACATAGAGGACACACTCATACTGAGATGGCTGGCTCCCCTACTGCTGCTCCACAACAGACTATGCTTGACCATTTTTCAGGGCTGGCAGGCTTGATCAATGTGCCCATGCCAGTGCCAGGCAGACATGGCACTACTTGTTTAACTGTGCCTTTCCTCACAGTGCTGTGAGGAGCACAAAGGCAGGGCATTACAGTCACGCAGAGCATCATGGAAGATTGTTTTTTTTTTCTCTCAGTAACACAGTCAGAGTGGTTTGATCCACAGAGCAAAGATAATGATTTTAGCCCTGAAAAAAAAGTTTGAAAAGGACCCAGCATAACATTTTGATGCAGATCAATTTATTAATAAATCAATTAATCAAATTACCTGGGTTTTGTTTCCCAAAAGCATAGTTAGCCATCTGCTGTTGGTGTTTCGCGAATCCATATTCGAAAGAACATTCACTCTGCTCTTCACTGAATAACTACATCTTTAATTAGGATTAATCTATAACTGTGGAAAAACGCGCGATAAATAAGCTACTGCTCCCCTTACCAAAAAGTAGTATACTTCAAGTTTATTTTATTAAGTATACTTAAGTAAAGTTCAAGTATATTTTTAAGTATACTTTATGTAGTAAGTATACAAATATCAGTGTACTAGTAGTATACTTGTAAGTATACTACACAAATATAGAGTTTCTCACTGTTTGTACATGATAACCACTCTCCTACACGGTTTCTTTATTTGTTTTTAACAGCAGAATTAATATTTAATATATCCATTTATGGATAAATATACATATAAACCGCTGTGCCGTGCTGCTCATATATATTATGCAGTAAAAATGCCCCTTCCCGCGGTAGGCTTCAGACACGGGTCACGACGAGGCGTTCCCCATAGCGACCCCTAGAGGACGCAGTTCGAAGTTCCACGAAAGGGAACCGCTCGTTCCGCGCGTCTTACGTCATTACGCTATTTCTGCGTCTTTGCACATGCGCAGTCCTTTCAGTTTCGGGGTTCAATCCGATCGAGTGTTTACGTACATGCACTCTCAATCATTTTAGAAAAGGAATAAACCACCCCCTTCAATCCGATCGAAATTTCATTCCGATCGAGCTCAATCGGATCGATTAAGGTGTTTACATGAAGGCTTTTCAGTCCGATTGTGCCATCAATCCGATTACAAACAGATTATTTGGTTGCATGTAAACGTAGCCAATGCGAAAATCGGATCAAATTTTTGTTGTAAATCTTAAAAAAGCTATGTGTATTCTAAAAATCTCAACACTTTGGATAATAAGCCTATGTAGAATTGTTTATGGAGCAGATGAAAAGCCTATAATTTATGATTTTGATCATTTTCTTAAAAATGAGTTAGACTGAAATGTGAGGTTTATCATTTCATAAAACGTTTTTTTTTTTTGGTCAAATCTTTAGGCTATTTGAACACATAGAACATGTTAGTAGATAACATCGTAAGTCACCGAACCAAGATTTTTTTTTAAATCAAGCCTTCATTTTTAATATTAAAGCTTTAATACAGTACAGCAACTGCACTCGTGTCCATGTTTAATGCTTCTCATAACTATGTGAAAATAAGTGTATAATTG